TTAAGTTTATTTTTAACAGGTAAATTACAATGAAAGCCAAGTTAAAGAGAAAAAGCACTGCTAGAATACTTTCAGGAAGTATTGTTCTTTCTGTATATCAGGTCAGTTGAAGTATAGTAGTTGAGTTTCTCACCTTGAGGCTTGCTTTCTGAATCCCAGCCTTGAAAGGTGAGAACAGGTTGATGTAAAACATCTCAGAAAGTAAGCGATGAATGTTCTTCGATGAAGAAATTTATTTAAACCATCAGACTAATTCCAGTTCACAAGTGCAATGGAGTGGGTAATAAAGATCATGATTATAGAAAGGTAATAGGAAGTCCCATTCCAAGTTTGTAGGGATTTTATTGGATGCTGGTATCAAAGAGGACAAGGGTTTACCTCATGCTTTAAATTCAGGCCGGAAAGTTGAAGAGAAGTAGAGGGAAGGATCTGGACTCTGATAAGTCAGGAGGGCTGAAAAAAATTGGATAGGGAAAGTTGTCTTGGTTTTTAAAAGGTGAACACAATGCATGTTGGAGAACAGGGAAGAGCTCTGAAATCAAATGATTGGGATAAACAGCAATGAGAATTCTTGTTCCTGGATGAGAGCATTCCTACGTTAATTATGTTGTTTCCATTTTAAATGCCTGATCCTTTTGAAGCTTTAAAACAATTATTCAGAATGCAATAAATGAAGTCATGTTCTTCCAGCTATGCCTACTTGTACCTTGTGCCATTTGGTTACTGAGGAGGAGGAGTGATGGCGAAGTTACTGCCATTCTATTTGCTTGGTTGTTTGGTGCAACCCCATTGTCTTCCATATATATGGAATGTATGTATGTACAACTTCCTAGTTGTTGGGTTTTTTTCTCCCTTTTTAAACCTTTTTCAAAGTGGCAATTGACCTGCTGTGAGGAGAAGGGAATACTGCACATGTATGCATATGCACACACGTACACACCCTCAGTAGGTACAGCTGTGTGGTTTTGGGCAAGTTTAGCTGGATTTTACATTTTCCCATTGCACTAGGAGCTAAATGAAGTTGCTTCACCCGCCTTTAAATTTTCACACTTAAAAATACTGTGAATTGAAATGTTTTGTTTCCTGAGCCCTGTTATCTGAAAGACTTCAGACAATCTCCAGGGTGGAGACTGCTGTGGTTGCCTGTAGTCTGCAGATGTTGGGGCATTTTTTTATTGTAGATGCAAGTGTGCAATACAACTTGTGGGAATTGGAGATTATGCAGGAAGTGGGCATATATAATAACATGAACTTCCACAAAGCAATTTTAATTGAGTCATCTTCCAATGAGACAGAGGTGGCAGTCTCTGCCTCATAGAGGTGGCAGCTCATGTAGGGAGAGAATGAACAAAGCTACACGAGGTAGATGTTAATCTTACCACTTGATGCATGTAGGAAAGGAGTGCAGAAATGGAGCAGTAAGGGAAGAGGCCCGTTAAAAGTCACAGAGTTAATGCTAGGGACTGTTTTTCTGCAAGTGTCTTTTTCACTTTTTGATCGTTATCAACTCTGGATTTGCACCAATTTTCATGTAAGAAGAGGAAGTGTAGAGATTTGTTAACTAAATAAATCCTGAGGAAACAAATTCTAGTTTGGAGGTAGGGGTCCCAGAACATCTTTGTTGTTTTTTTGGCTTTGAAGAGGACAAAACAGTGAAACTGAGGGTGTTTTCAGTCATTTAAAAGGGTCATTTGAAACTGCTGGGTTAATCTTTGTCTAGGCCCTGAAAAGGCAATCAAGTGTCAGTTCACATACACAAAGATGTATATTTGCACATCTAAATCATAATCTGTTTATAATAAACTGGTTTAGCATTCAGGCCTGAGAGAAAATCTTTAACCTTCCCCCCCCAAACACTGCAGCTGACTGTTGAACAAGAAAGATCTCAAGTAACAGCAGCCTGTGCTGTTGATGCAAGAGAGACTGTGTTTAATACCTGGTTAGACATTCATTAGTACCTACCTGCAATATGTAGGTAGTTGCTTTGCTGCTTCCAACTGTAATGTTAATAGAATCATAGAATAGTTTGGGTTGGAAGGGACCTCAAAGATCATCTAGTTCTAGCCCCCCTGCATCATAGGCAGGGACACCTCCCACTAGACCAGGTTACTCAAAGCCTATCCAACCTGGCCTTGAACACTTCCAGGGCTGGGGCATCCACACCTTCTCTGAGCAAACTGTGCCAGTGTCTCACCACCCTCCTAAGTGAAGAATTTATTCCTTCTGTCTGATGTAAACCTACCCTCAGTTGGTTTAAAGCCATTTCCCCTTGCCTCATCACTACATACCCTCGTAAAAAGTCCTCTCCAGCTTTCCTGTAGACCCTCTCTAGGTACTTGGAAGGTGCTGTAAGGTCTCCCTGGAGTCTTCTCCTGGGCGAACAGGGACCCTCTCAGCCAGTCTGCAGAGCAGAGGTGTCCCAACCCTGTGAGCATCTTTGTGACCCTCCCCTGGACTTGCTCCAACATGTCCATGTCCTTCTTGTGCTGAGGACCCCCAGAGCTGAATGTAGTACTGCAGTGGGGACATATGTAATAGCTTCTGTTTTGCTGTCATGACATTGTTCACTGCATCAGCTAAAAAGGCAGAAATTACTGCGTTCATAAGGTGAAATTCAGATAGACATAGATTTTATTTCTGTATGGATTTTAGTTTTTACATCAAAGTACTTAAAATGAAAAGTTTTCAGAAATACTGCCTCTGCGATATTTTTCCGCTTTGTTGGAAAGTCAGGTAACGTAGAACTGTAGATGTGACCAGGAAGTGTAGCAGATGTGAGAACTGCTGTTCTCACAGAGTTCTGCTGTAGGGAGAGTGGTGCAGTCTGAGAAACTAGAATAGGGCAAAGGCAATAGAACATACTGTTAAATTTGTCCTATTGGGCTTGCAGAAAAAGCTGTGAGATGCTTGCTTTGAAAGTTTTGCAAATTATACATTTAGCAAACAGGCAAGTAGGCAGATGCTATTCATGTTAGCTCCTCAGAATATTTTTTTTGAACAAGGACATTTGCTGTGTTGTCTGGGTAGGTATTTTTGAACACAGTTTTGCATATATGACTCATGAAATAGTAAGTGTTTAAATATGAGATCACAAAACAAGACCAGTTTTTATTCTGTTTATGCAGAAGAAACATGGCATTTGCACTCAGTTACCTAAGCAGGGTGCATCAACAGGGTTGGTATCTTCTGATGCTTTGTAAATAATGTTGGCTATTGAGATATTCAGATCGTTTTCTGTAATACTGACACTTTTCACTGGGAACTGTTTGACAAAAACTAAATTACAGTTGTTTCCGTGATTTCAGTATGTCAGTTGGCAATGATGATTATTTTATTTCTGTGGAACAGAAGTCAAACAAAAACATCTTAGCAAATTTTGTTGTATGCTGAGGGGTTTTTGTGCATTCTATGTCAACTTTTTCCATAAAGATTAATAATAACGATAACAGGTTGTTGATGAAAATAATGTTTTGTGAATGTGCCTATGAAATAATGTGATTGACTGGTATTTTTTACATTGCTCAAATCCTAATGTGTTTGGTGATAAAGTACAGCATGGGTGACAATGGCTGCTTGTTATATCTGTTACTAATTTTTGGCTGAAATCTTATGACCAGTTATTTGATGTTTGCTCAAATACTACAAATAAATATTACCCAGTAAATATTTCTCTCTAAAACTGAATTACGATCAGGTGTGTACTTTTTACTTTGTAGAGTCAAAAATAATTTTATCCACATGAACCTCCTTTTCCTGAAAGTCATCTGTGTATTAAGTGTATTCCTCTATTTTATTTTTTTTTCCTATTTTCTAGTTTGTGTGGGATGGGTGCCTATATGTTGGCTTTGGAGCTTGTTAATGAGCTGAGTCTCCATCAAAGTGAAGTACCTAAGTATTCCAATTTTCATATTGGTACTTGCCTTTCTAGTTGCTGTAGAAGGTACATGGTGACTCAGTTTTTCTTTACTGATTTACTGATCGTTTGCAACTCTCCTTCATAGTGCAATAGTTTTCATAGTTCACTTTGCTTTGCTGAAAAACGTGGCTCATGTTCATTGTGGTGGACTATGAGGGCCAGTGACATGTTTCTGACTTCTGTTAGTTATTAACCTTATTTAGTGTCTGCTTGCATGCAGACATGAGCCTCTTGACATAGTCATACAGTTATTTTCAGATGTTCCCTTGAAGAGCCTTATTTAGTGAGATCAACATAGATGAAATTAAAATTCTTTCAGTACCATTTACATTAGAGGAAATAACACTAATGTTTTCTAATAGACCTTATAAATTCCTAAGCAAATTCACAGGCTCTGCTCCTGGCCCCTCACTACTGGCCCCTGAAAAACTAAGCTAACCTAAACTTTCCCAGTGTCCAGCATTTATATGTAGACCTGTGAGAGAGGGTTGGGAATGCTGTACATCCATAATTGTCATTGTCAGCACTCTGTCGTTGTGGGTGCTAAGCACTTGTGGACTGCTGGAAATAAAGGTGTCCAAAATTAGTCAATATTTGACTCCTGTTTGTATTTATAAAATGTAAGAAATATTGGATGTTCTTCCTTGGGTATCTTTGTCTTGCATTTAGCAATACTTCACAAGAAAACCATTCTGGTTCATTCATGAATGCTCAGAATGCTCTTTATATTGTGTAAGAATGCAGAGTCCTGCTTTTGCTAAAGTATGGTAATGATTTTGCCTAAAGTCTTAATTACAGAATAGTCAGAGGAAAGACAGAAACTAATTAATTCCTGAAGAAATTTTGACTTCAGGACTTTAATATTAATTTTTAGTTACTTTAGAGTATGCAGTGGAAAATCCCAGCTGTAACCTATCCTGTCCTTACATTGTCCCTTCCAAATCCTGAGGAATTTTGAAAGTATTTTAAAAATCATTAATGTGATGAGTAAAATAAGAAGTTTCAGAGATGGGCATTTTCTAGGTTTCTCTACTGCTGTACATTGAAAAAAAAATAGAGTTCTAATCATGGTTTTGTGTTTCAGGACTTAAAATGGCAGGAGAAGATTCCTATATTATGGGAGTATCTGATCCCCAAGTAAGTGGATTTGTATGTTTTCAGTATACCTGTATCCTCTTCTAGCTCTCTGTTTAGGTTTTGTCTCATACTGTCCTGTCATTTTCTAGGCTTAACAACATGGACATATCAAAGCATTTTGCACTGAAGAAGTCAGATTTGGGGAAATCTAGTGGGGTTTTTTTTTCCCTAAGGTGATTTTTATGTGATCTGTAAAGTGCCTTGCCACTAGTTAAATGGTTGAAATGTAAAGGAAAGCTAGACCTGCTGAAATAAGCATTTGGAAAAATTACTTATTTTTATGCCCTGCCTGCCTGTGACACTTACTGTGAAGTTTCTGCTGTGGTGGACAGTTGACTTTTTCTGAAAATAAAACCCCTTATGCCATAGAAGGCCTTTTTGTGTAATTTTTTATGATATTTGCATTGACATAGATGACTAAAATGTTCCTTCACTCATACAGATTGGTAGGCATAACTCTTATCAGGTCTTCCTGATCTCATTAGATCTGAACTGTGAAAATGGTGCTTGGGTGAAAAGTTTAAAGAAAGAACAGATCATTTCTACTCACCCTAATTTTCAAAGAGCAAGTATTTTCTCCTTTATGCTTGCTCCACTTTGGAAGTAGATTTATACCTGACAACAATTACAGTGAGTTAAGATATGTCAGTGTTAAAAAAAAAAATAAATTAAACTTTAACCTGGGTATACTGTTTCTTGCATTAGACCTTGTCAATATATTTACATAAGGAATGTAGTCTGGTGAGGTTTAATCAGAGAAGTGAAAATGAAAACTCACAGGTTCTCAGCAAGGCCTTGGGCAAGACATCTAGTGTCAGATTTTCAAAATTTACTGTATAAGCTCTTTTGAATATATAGTTGTTAGTGCGTGTAAGCAAAATGCACGTTTCCAAACTGTGCTGAGGTCGGTGCGGTCTCATGATAGTGGTGGAACTTGGGGCAGTGCTGTCAGCTCTACTTGCACTGCTGTTGCCAGTAAAAATAAATTAGCTATAAGATATTCATGTAATTCAACAAAGTGTTTGCAGTGTCAATATTTGCAGAGACCTTTGAAATTCTTTGCTGATAGATGCTTTATGCAGTTATGTATATATGTAGTAATGAAGAGTATATTTTCTTTCAATGTAGATGTTTGCAATGGATCAGTTCATGGGAATGAATGCATTATTTAATAGTACAAATTACATCACTTCAGACTTACCAATCCGAACAGGTAAGAACCATTAGTATTTAATGGTGCTATTGTCCTGCTGATTATTCCTGTTTGTTTCCTTTTGTAAAGTTCTTTTCAGAGGCTTTTTTTTTCAGTCTTTCATAATACTAGATTGCAAAGTTGTCAACTAGATTTTTTTTTTACATCTTTTTGCATCTCTTTCTTACCCACATGAAACTTTCAGCAGTGAGGCAAATCTGATTCTCTTTTGGCTTGTACAGAAACTGAAAGTTTCAACAAGTTTCCCAGCTCAAACCAGAACAGTGACCAAAGAGCTTTGATTTTATGAATTATTTTGTATTGGGTTTTTTCTAAATTTATGCCTTCAGTGACCTACCTGTTTATATTGCCAGGTTGCATTTCTTTTCCTTTTGAACACTTTCAGTTGTTGTAGTGGTTCTTAAGGTGTTTGTTTTTCACTAGTAAAATGTAGAGAATATTAACTTCCTGTGTTTTTCCTTCTCTGTGACTTCTCTGTTTCCTGTAAAGTGGCAGTGTGGTATAAGAAGTACCTGACAATTTCCTGAATAATAACACTCATTTAAAAGTTCAGAGTCAAATTTTGCAAAAAACTGCTGAAAATAAGCACATAGCATTCTGCAGAGGTCTGATATGCAGCTCTTACAGTATGGTTCAAGAACAGTAATAACAAATACAAGCCCATTGTAGCTCAGTCAGTATTAGCTGCTTGATCAACCTTAGTCTGGTTTTGCTTATTAAATTTCTATGTTAATATTACTTCTTGCATGAATTGGGAAAATTCTTTTTTCCTGCTTAGTTTATTGGAATAGCTGATATGAAAGGAAGAAGGAAATAAAATTTTATTTAAGCTTATGTGGGTTTTTTTCCAATATATATATCTCCAATATAGCTATTAATGTCTTTTAACAGGAGAACTTTCTGTTGTTATCTATTTGACTGTTGTATCAGGATGTAGCTAGTATCTTCTGTATTACAAATTACTTTTGTTTGTTGAAAGTGCAAACCACTTCTGCTTGCAATATTTGATACACTTGATAGCAGTGAAGGTATAAAGGGTAAAATGAAATAAACATTTAGCGTTTTCCTTCGTAGGGAAAATTCCACCCTGAAGTAACAATAAATGCTGACTTTAAAATAAAAATGAAGGCATGCTTACTGTTTTAGTGTTTCCTTGATTAAACCATGCTTTACTTTTCTGGACTGAGTAGTAGGAAGAAAGGATCAAGAAACTCATATGGTACACATAATTTTGTTTCAAGATACAATGTTCTGATGAGCAAAGCTTTTGACGAATATGGACAAACATCCAACAAATAATTGTTGCAATCATTTGTTTGCAATGTGGTTTTATTAAGACAGATAAAATTATTCTCTAAGACTCATCTGTGTAGGATTAAATAGCTTTTGCATTGTATGCCAAGAGATTTTTTTCGCTGTCTTCCCAGAGTTTCTGTGGAACAAATAAGGTTATGGAAATTTCCCCATAAGGAGCTCTCTTACATGTACCTTTTAAGCGTACTCTATACTCCTCATGCCAGATCATTCCTTCCATACCAATTATTCATTTATATAAAACTTACTTTCAGGTGTCTATGTCCTGTCTAAAGTAGAAAACAGGTGTTTTCAAAACCATGTCAGGGAGTCAAGGATTCATTGAGTTCTACAGTCACAGAAAACTCTTACTGAGCTAAGTCTAGTTTTGTCCTTAATTTACAAAATTGCTTAGGAAAAGGCCTTTTTTTTTATATGTGCCGCTGCTCTTTTCTACTGCTGCACTATAGCTGCCTAGTTCCCTGTATACAAAATAGGATTCAGTAAAGAATCCTATTATTGCAAACAAAAAGTTAAGATTTAGAAAAGCTTGACAGCATCTAATGATGCCATAGTCAGTTTGTTTCTTGAGTAGTATCACTGTATTGCTTACTTCCTCCCCTGCTTGAAACTATGCCATGTTGTTATTATGGACTAGCTCTTCAGTTGTAAGATAATATAATAATTTATTTAATCTGCTTCAGTGGTTTCCAAGCAGGGACTAATTAATGATATCTTTCTACACAGCGAGGTTAGTTAAAAATTCATGTGGGATTTTCCAGGAATACTTCAGCTGAGATATGGAAAGAGTGAAATAAATGTTCCAAAAAGGATTTTTTTCTAGGACAGTTGTATGATCTTTAGTCTGTGCATTCATAAATGCACAATGTCAGACCTATTACATTGGCAGACAGGTTTAATATATAACCATGGATTGCCATATCATGCCAGTGTACCTGAATCAACAAATAGCTGGGGAATTTGGGGACTTTCTGATGATAAACATTCTGCTGTTATGTTAATATTTACAGTAATAGTAGAAAACCTTTGAGATGTTGGGACAATGATTTTCTCAATGACATTGTTAGTTTTCAAGTGTCTTTGCTCGCTTCTTTTTCTCTCTCATGTATGCCAGCTTTAAATAAAAATTAGGATTTGTTATTTTATCTCTAAAGCTGTAGAAGATAATTACGTGGTTCAAGTTCTACATTTGCATCTACGTCTAGAAAGAGTAGTCTCTGTGTGTGTTTGGTGGAAAAGAGATGGATCTATAACAAGTGCCATAACAGTGCAAGTTACAGGATGGAGCTGTGTGTTTAAAACAACACCATCAGCACAACCAGTATGTCACAGAGTCAGCCTCTTCTTTGGCTCATTGGGAAGTATCCTGCCTTTCAGAGTTAGGTACTGAACCTCAGTGGCATCAGGGATGGAGAGAGCATTATCCATGGCATGTTTAGACAGTGTGAAAGCAGATACACATCAATGGGATGTCCACTGTGTAGCGGAGAGTCAAAGTGATGCCTTACATTGGAGAGGAAATGGGCAGAGTTGTAGGCAAAGTGGTTTATAATTTGGGATGTTTCTTACTCGCTCCTGATTATATGAAGTCATCTACAACCATGGAACACAGCAATCTGTGTGCCAGTTAGAGGTGGTTCCAGGAACTGGTTAGTTGTTTTGTGTTCTAGGGGCTCTGGTCTAACTAACTCTTGGCATTAAGTGGTGTGTTTTTAAACCTTTGAAGTTGAAGCAGGGCCATCAGGAGCTGAACATTATTGCCTGGAGTCTGCTAAAATTAGTTTTCTGGTATTTCTTTAACCTCCTCTGTCCAACTCTGTGTGATGCTTGCTGTTCAGAAATGAGAAGGGCATAGAGGGAAAAAGAAGGTGCTTAAAAAAGCTTTATTTCATATTTTTTTCAGGGAGAGATACAGTTAGAGATTCAAGGAAGCCCAACCATTACCAAAACCGAAATGGGTGTTCATTTTCCCTGTCACAGGCAGTGGCCCTAGCCCTCAGAAGCTTGAACAGACTTGCATACTGTTTCTGGTGTTCTTTCTAGATCTTCTGTGCTTGTGTTTTGAAGAGTGAAGTGAGGGAAGAGGTTAAGCAAACCGCATGTGCTGCTTGCTTTAAACATCATGCTTTGAACACCGAAGAGTTGAGATTGGAAAGTGTGTTCTTGTAGCATTTGCACGTCCTCCCTGTCAGGGATTCACCTGCACAACAGGCGTTCAGGAAGGATAAGGCACTAGGTCTTGAGTCTGAGCTTTTAGCAGCAAGGTACCAGTGCCAGGATGGACACAAGAGGGTTGGTGTAGGATTTAACAATCAAAACTTAGAGGCCATGAGTGTTTTCATCCATGTCCATTCTATAACAGCAATTATGAGGGTGAGATGCCCATTCTGGGAGATCCACAACCAGAGAGAAGGTAAGCGGGAGACTTGTCCACAGCTGGTTGCAGGTTAAATTGAATGGCTTCATTCAATTTAGCTAAGCTGTACTAGCTAAGCTGTTAGATAAAGGACCTCACTAGTCCAACAGTGCTGCCAGGCTTGCAGACATATCCCACCAACCTTACAGATCCCTTTTTCCTTGATTTTTGTTACGGTGGGAAGAAGGAATCAAGAGGGATCCTAAGATGGGTGCTCCTTTGGAAGTGTGTGTGTAGGGTGAGGCCTGTCAAGAGGAAGAAAGAATGTAAGTGGTGGGAGTGTCAGGAGGCAGGAGGACCTCTGACTCAGGCAGGAAGGAAAATGAAGAAACTTAGCAGTTGAAGAAGACGTGGGGAAGTGGGACTGTGACTCAGGCTGGAGGTGAGGCAGCGGGATGCAAGTTGGTCTGTGGCAACCGAGGTGAGGAGATGGAAAAAGAAGCCCTGAAGCATACCCAAGATGTGGCAGTCTGCACCAAAACCCCTCCGTGCTGGAGGACTGCATGTTTTAGTTACAGTTCTTGGCCCTCCTGGCTGCAGCAATGCCAGGCAAATCGTGAGGAGTGCTCGTGTCAGAACTTGGCTCTTGGCAACCATGAGAGTGATCCCTGTGTGAAAGCCATGACTGTGTGCCTTCAGCCTCTCTGTAGGGCAAAAGTAGAACTTAAGCTATGCATTAGGTAGTGTTCCTTCTTGTGGTTGTTTAACATTTAAAAGGGGGTTGCTTGTTAAACAAGAATGTGAAGCAATCAACCTTCCAGACTACAACAGAGGTGCAAAAAATCATCACAAATCTCATCATTATTAGTTTCTCTTACAAGGTGTTTATTTCAGGTTCCTGCTCTCTGTCTGCTTAGACCAGACATGCCTAGTAATAGAAACGAAATATTAAAAGCTTCCCTGTGCAAAACACTAAATGTCTTTTTTTTTTTTTTCCGTGGGAAATTATGAGTGAAAGAAGGAACCACACATAGCCGATGCTAGGCTGTCGAATGTACTTCTGGGAAGTATTCAGAATTTAGTGAAGACAGTTGTATGAGACTTTTCATGGGCTAAAATCCTTTCTATGATCAAAATTATATGCCATTTATGCTTGTATGTTTTCTTGAACATTGCTGCTTAATTTTTAAATAGCATGTCAGGTGTAATTAAGGGCATTGCACTCTACTGTTATTTGGGTCTGGTTCAGATGCTATGCTAGGAAATTACTTAGTCACTGTAAAAGAAAATGTTTAGTCGCAAAACCCAAGGGTTAAAATAAGACCTCACAAAACTGTGTTTTAAATACATTGGTATATGATTTATATAATATGATTAATGATAACAGCCATCTAGTTTGCCTTTGCACATTTGCATGCATCTTTTTGCACTTTCCTAGTGCTAGTATGTAAGATTTTTATTTATTTTTTTTAGTCGGTATCTTTGTCAGCTTTTTATAAACTTTTTTCCAAGGGGGAAGAAGAACCACAGTCCCAAGGTTTTAATTTCCCTAAGTTTTCACAAGTGTTGTGCAAGGTCAAACCATTTCAGTGGTGTAAACAATTTCCTTTGAGCTTTCCAATGTGCCAAGATAGTGTATATTCCTCTCTTAGGAATTTGCATTTCCTTATGCTGAGGAAAAATTGAAACTTGGATCTGCTGCATCCTGGGGGACTTCTGCAGCCACTTAGCCGTAGGATAAGAACGCTTCCTTTTCTGGCTAATGTTTGAGAGAAAGGGATAGTACTTTGTGTGGATACTAATCCAATGTGTATGCCTAGAAAATGAATTCCTAAGAGGAGAACAGCCAAAGAACAATTACTTTGCAGGTCGTGCCCTCAAGGCTTGGTTGAATGTTGAACTACACAGTTGTATTTTAGGTGCATTGTGTCTGCCAGTGCCCAGAAAATACAAGGCTTCTGGATTGTTAAAGTATAAAATTTCAGATGCCTAAAGCATGAGGAGGGTTAGGGGTCTATGAACAGAGGTCTTAAATTTAAGTGCTGATATATTGCTTAAACCCAACTCAGTTCATCTTGACTCTGTTACAGACAAAAATTGAAACATAAGGCCAAAGCTAAATATTACTCTACATCTTTTAAAGTTGAGGTCCAAACTGTTTTTCATGCTTTCTAATGTAAGGTCGTGTGTATATGGTCTTGAGGCAATTTTTTGCATGACTTCAAGTTTACTTTTACATATGAAAGGACAAATGTTTACCTTAAGAAATAAGTTATCTTTATATGTGAAATTGTTGTGACTGACATTTGCAATATAACTTTGGCATGAAGATAATTCAGTGGCTGAGTCAGCTAACTGCAGCAGTAGAACACTGATTTCATCCACTGGTGTATTTATCACAACTTCCATGTTGAGAGAAGCTTGTTCAGTTAAGACCTGTGCTGACCAAAGGCATGAACATCTATTTTATTATAATGAAGTAGTACTGAGGAGCTGAGATGGATGCATGTAGTCATACTACAAAACATACGTTAATTAATCCCTTGCTGGTTTTAATTATTGCTAAACATTGGGCTTATTGGCAAATAAAAGTTGATGCAAGTATGTAGTTCTGTGCTGAAGCCAACTTCTATGTAGTTGGTGTGGTACTTGCAGATGGTGCAGTTGTTCAGAGGCAGATCACACCTGGATGTGGCAGGGCATGGAATGCTTTGTGTGCTTGCTGGCTCTGCCACATCGCTGTACCTTGTCTGCTTTGGAGGAGTCGCGTGTCCCAGTGAGCTTGCTTGATTCCTCAGCATTAATACCGGCCTCTGGTGGTCTAGTGGTTAGGGTGCAGGACTCTCACCGCTGCGACCTGGGTTCGATTCCCAGCCCCCCGGGCAGATGGAGCTCGTTAGCCCTGTGTGGCAATCCATCTAAGAGAAGGTCACTCTAAACAAACCTACGTCCTGGGGACCTCGCTGCCACTGTCCAAGCTTGCTCGGCCCCGGCAGATGAACCTCAGGATTAAAGGGTGGGCTCAGTTCAGCGCACGCTGTGTCTCACCTAAAAAATCCACTGTGCAGGCTCGAAGGGTTAATGACCTTTCCCAAATCTTCGCTCGCGAAGACTGGCCATTATTAATACCTTTAATAGAGTAGAAGTGGTGATATGTAATTCCGACAGGAAAATGGCTGGCAAAATATTATGTAGGTATTCACAGTGAAGCTGTTGTTTGGGATCTGCTTTGAAAACAACTGATTTTTTAGCATTGAAATGCAAATCTTCTTGTCTGTTTAGCAAGAGGCAGGGAAGAAATCATAGGTCTTAGAACTGTTGTTTTCAGACTCCTGAGTGGCTTGCATTTGAAGAGGTATTTCACAGCCATTCACCTAGAGAGCTTTCCTTCTTGATGTAAATAATCTAAATGGTCAGAGCTGGAGCTAAGCTTTGATCAGGTGATGAATTCTTAACTCAGGTGACACTGAATTCTCATTGGATTTAGGGTCTGCTCCAAGACCATTTAAACTGGTGAATTTTAAATGAGGTTTATAGTAAAAAGTTAACCACCGTATGAGACTGAAAGTTGTTTAAGGAAGCCGTCTTTAAAAGATGTAAGTAGAATTTTAGTAGAACATAATCCTCTGTATTGGCACCATGATCAAGATGGATCTCAATAGAGAGTCTCCATCTCTAAGCAAATTGAGTGCATTCAGTGTTGTTAGAGGCACAGCAGAACAGTATATTTAGAAGTGTATCTGAAATTATTAAAAGAATGTAAATTGTTTAGTCTTCTCAGTTCCAGGATTTTATTTAAAGCAGCCCTTACTGTTAGGGCATGTTGAGGCAGCTTGAATTCCTCTTGTATTCCCATACCTCAGAGCTTCCCATTGGCTGTCTCCAGACTTTCGAAAGCACCTATTCAGTAGGAAGCCCTGAAGCCAAAAGCTTGTGAGTATAGTCTTTAGAGCCCAAGGGGTTTAAATACAAAAGTTGACCTTAGCTCAAGAAGGCCAGGCTGCTTGTCAGTGACGAGGGGAGGATCCTGTTCTTATTCACCGTTGCAAATTTTAACTGAGTTATCAGTTGCCCATTTAGGCCCTCTGAGCTAAAATTAACTTTTTTGAGTTAATCCTTCTCTTCTTACTCCACTGGTCTCTAGGAACGCTGGAAATGACAGACCGCCAAGTGATTAAATTATTTCTTGAAATTTAAGTTCTGAGGAGACTTAGGTGCTTTCAAAAGTTTTATCTCAAGACATTCAAGGACGTAATTGTACCCCTGCAACTTATATGTCATAGTAATAAAAATATAATTTCTATTAATACTTTTCTTTCTTTTATGTTAGCAGATGGACCATATCTTCAAATCATAGAACAGCCAAAACAGGTAAGAACAAGACTACATTTTGAAAACGGATTACTACATTCAGCCTTGAATAAATTTAAGACTAGAAATAAAGAGTACAGAAAAGGCTGAACTCTCAGAACAAATATGACACTTGAACATGAGCATTTTTAACTCTTGTAGTTAAGTTGTTGCCTGTTTTGTTTTGTGTCTCTGTGGAAGTGTCATAATACAAAAAAACCCTGAGGATTTTAAAAGTATGTCTTGCTAAGTGACATCTTAGAAGTGACTCTTGCAGGACCCCAGTATTTGGAAATATAAACTAGCAGACCAAACACGGAAAATTTTTAGGATTTGTTTCATGTTTCTTGAAACACAAGAAGGAAAAAAGAAAAACACTTCACTCTGTTCCCAAATTACAGGAACTTTTGACTTGTGCTTTGTCATGTTAAAGAAATTCAGTTCTTTGAGATTCCTTTTGTTGTGGTTGTCTGTTTTGAATAATCCAAGAAAAATGAAGATAAGTGCTTGAATGTTCTTTTTGTCTGATTATGTAGCAAACACTGACTTATGTTCCTCTGACAGCAGAGAAGTTATTCCAATTCACTGGTTAGTTTTTGTGCAGCTGATGTACAGAGTTAAATACCTGGGTAAAGATTGCCCTGAAGTATTGCCTGGGTATTGTTCCCCTTTAGCTGATGGCACCTGCAATTACAAGGATTCTTCCTGAAGCTGTTACAGTATGGAGGCGCCTTTCCTGTCTGCCCCAATGAGTTACAGAAAACCATACCTTACAGAGCTGTTCAGTAAACAGGAGAAGAGGGTGGCTAAAAGCTGTCCCACTCTCCTCTTGGTCTTCTACAGAAGCATAACACAATCCAGTCTTCCTGGCAGGATGCAGTGGCGAATATGGTTTCAATCACACAGCAAAGACATTTTTGTGCTTGAGCACACATCCAGAGTTAGGAACTCTTCATCATAGTCATAAGTGAAACAGCAGTGTACTGTGAACTCTTGGAATATGCTGCCTCTTCCTTGTTGTTTTAGTTCATTCCAAATCAGGCCATGTCTTTGCATGGTGGGCCTGACAGGATACAGTAGGTAAGGAGAAACCATTGTTTCCATATGTGACTTCTCAGCAAGTGGCTCCTCTTGTGGAATACCCATGTGGCAAGCTGGGCAATGGTTTTTAACACAGTGATGAGGGTGATTCATCAGCAGAGTGATGAGCTTACGATCACTGTTGGAACAGACAGATGAGGGGAGTAAGACTGTGTGAAAATATGGCTAGGACAGCAAAGAAAATAGACTGAGGAAAGCCACACAGGTGACTGCTGGGTCTGCTGGTTTGAAGGCATCAAGGTGAAGAGAGACTGGGTCATCTCCTGTGTCCTGGCTGCAGAGGATGCTTTGCCTTTTGGACAACTTGAGCTCAAGCTCATCATAGCTGGGCACTTCACTTGCATACTCTTGGTCACTCAGTTCATCTTGGGAAGGCAATATCTGAAAAAAAGTCAGATCTTTAGATTTGCCTGGGAAACAAGTTCTTAACCTGAAAAGACTTTAGCAAGATAGGTATTGGAAGCTAATGTTTACAGAGTAGTTTTAAATCGTGTTGTTTGCTTTCAGCTAATATAGACTTCGAATTCAGAGTTGTCTTCCATTAGAGAGAAGCTGAATGACTCTTGACAAAGGCTACCACACTAACTGGTGCTACTTGAACAGACACTGGGATCTGGGGATGATGAGGATTTTGCCAGAAATTGCAGGACTGGAGAGTAGATCTGAATGGAAAATTGGGGACCACATGAAATATATGGTTAAGTAGAGTTAGAGTTACCAAATACACTTGCTTAAGATTTGCATCTCTTGTGCCTTATAGATTACTGTGTTAAGTAAATGGGATGTTATTTGCTATAAATAAAAACAGAATCAGCGGAGAGCTGTGCTCTGGACTGGTTGCCAACATCCTACAGTTCTCTAAAGTATATTCAGATGTCTATTTATGTAACTGAGATGAAAATCCAGCCAAAGTCCACTGAAACTTTTGTTCTCTTTCTGGACTTCACTGGTAGATAACAGCTTTCATGCACTTTTCCCAGAAGGAAGAAGCATTTCTTCTGTTTCATTCCTATTCTTTCCTTTATGATGCTTTGGACTTCATTATTATTGGCTTCAATTTCGTCTGCCTAGCAGCAATCATGAGGAGAGAGTATCTGCTCTTGCATTCTGTGCATGTTAGTTTTTATCCTATTTTGAGAGTATTAATAGATCTCTGCTTTAAAATATCTTAACTGAAAGAAAAAAATTCAGGTTGCTGCTGTGTGTAAGAGAGAATAGAATGGTTTCTCCAGAGCTACAGTTCAGCTGAGCTTTTTTATCCAGCACTCAGCATTTCAGGGATGAACAGTTGTAACTTTTCCATTTGGGCAAGTCTTGTTTGTATGTGTGCATGTGCTATTTTTCTTTTGGTTTTGTTTCAGAACGCCTTTCAAGTTTCTTTTCCTTTCTTTCCACAGAGGGGGTTTCGTTTTCGATACGTGTGCGAAGGACCTTCACATGGTGGACTTCCTGGTGCTTCTAGTGAAAAGAACAAAAAATCTTACCCTCAGGTCAAAGTAAGTACATAAATCATTAATTTTCTGAACTGAATACAAGTGTCATATGTATGTGTAGAGTTACGGCATAGCAACGTAAATTTGTATGAAATTACTCAAGAGTGACTACATTTCAGTCCCAACTTTCAAAACAGCCTGAGCTGTTCAGTTCCACTTCTATTGCAAAGCATGAGACCGCTTAGTTATTCCACTTCACTCTGGGATGCTATTTACCAAGTTTTTCTATTTTTTCTGTTTATGTTACTGCTTATTCAGTACCTCTAGAATACTCTGTTCTTAAGAACTTAATTTCTTTACAGTCAACTTAAAACTTCTCATTTTAATAGTTACAATGTTATGTTCAGGTGTTGGCTGAACTCTTTTGGTGGATTTTTTTTCCCCCCTGGAAAAAATTCAAATATGTTAATCAAAGGAATGTTCTCTAGAGGCATAATATGAATATTAGTGATTAGTCATTCTAGGATTGGACAACTGTCTTTGCCTATGGTTCTTGCAGCAAGTTCTTTTTCTGTGGAAGTTGGGAAAATGTACACTGCATCTTTTCAGTATTTTTTAACTTAAATGGAGGTCTTGGTCTTATTACCTTATGTCTTTGAACTATTGCACTACAGATTATCTCATGAGGAGCACAGTTAATGTATTCTAATTCTGGTGTTACTTCTTAATGTATTTTAATTCTGGTGTTATCTCTTACTCCTTTGTGGGGAAAGAAGAGGAGGGAAAAGTGGCACACAATCAGCCTCTGCCTCGGTGTGTGCCTCTCCTCAGTATGTGTGTAGTTCATTTGCAGGTCTTGGGAAAGGCTGGAGTTTGGAACAGTTGCATCTCCATAAGAATCAGTATAAGCATGACTCAATGGAAAATAATCAGCATTGGCTGAGGTAGCCTAGGCAGTTAGTCTTGCAAATTGAGAAGGTGGGAAAGCTGATTTCATATAGCCTTGCAAAACTCCTATGAAAAATTACTAGCCTAGGCAAATGATCTGCTTGCTTTCCTCTTTCCTATTTTGACAGTAATGATAAACCAATGAATGAAATTCCACTGGTATGTTCAGATATAAAATAATTTACTTCAATTGAGCCCAATCCTTGGATTCCAGTCTAATTGTATATTAATAATAATGCAAGGGATACTTTATAAAGATGTGATAAGTCACACAATAGCATGACAAGAGATATGCAATGAGGAGTTATACAGGAAACTAGAAAGCACAGTGTTCTTTGGCTTTCCATCAAACCTCCTAATTTCATTGATCATCAGATTTTAATTTCATCTAAAGCTTCCCCACACACACACACATGTCCCTTCCCCTCCCTCCTGTCCTACTGTGTGCATCTGGGTTTTTTGCTAGTACAAATCCCCACATGGCAACACCTGCTGGGAGAGGCTGGCAAGGGAACACAACAAGTAAATTCCTCAAGGCCATTGCTTGTTAGTGCCTGTTCTTGATTCAAGTGGTGCCAGTAAAGACTGAAGTGTTTCACACCTTTTCCTGTAAGTCTCTTCTGTGTTTTGTCAGTGTGCTCACCTTGTCATAACTGAGGGGAGCACAGCTGAAGATTTTTTGTTGTGTTGGGGCTTTTTGTTTTGATTTTTTTGAGGTTTTTGTTTGGTTTTTTTACTCTCGTGCCAATGTTTTCACAATAAAACCTCCATTATTAGTTGATCACAGTGCAGTGAAAGGACAGTAGCATGAGCTTTGACTGTGCTGTAAAAAATGAGGCTTTGTGACATATCTTTAAACCTTGGCCATGATGTGTCAGTGCAACTCACATTCGGATCTGCTTTCTGCTTGGAAAACTCTTCACAGAAAACTGATATAATTTACCAGTAGCTACCATAGAATGCCCTAAAAATAGACATCTTCATTGCACTAAAAAGCGTTGCAGCCTCCCTGCTCTGTTTTCGTAGGATTATCGATTGAAGGCCGAAAGAAAATACATTTATGTCATATGACCTCTTGCATAATGTGGGCTGTCCGACTTCACCATTGTTTTTTCTCCCTGCACCATCACTAACTTGTAGTTAAGCTGGAACACATCAAGATGCATCTTTCATATAAAGACTAGAGTTTTGAAGACTTTGCTATATCTCTACGCAAGATGTTTTGGTAGTTAATGATGTGTGTTACCACTTCCTGTATAGTATATTTGTAAATGGTGTAGGTGAGGAGTTAGTGTAGCAGTTCTGCAATGCCAGTCTTTACACTTAAATCAAATGTACACTGGACAGCAAGGTGGAATTGATGTAAAATCTCTTGTTTTAATGGAACAGTCCTGACAAATGGAGTCTAGATAACAGCAGTATTTTTCTATAATATAAAAAGGGGATTCATTTATGGTTTATGGAATTATATTCCTTTGTTTAGCCCTTTCTTTGCTAGTAATCCTAATATGTAGAAAACATCTTGCATATTCAGAGGATTCTATACAACTATGGATGTTATTATAGAGAGTAGAGAAGTTGTAGATAATTAATGTGTTATAATGAAGTTACATTTCATGATTGCAGTAGAAGGCTACCTAAAATGCTTCATTTAAATTTCACTTTCATTCACTTAGTGCAAGTAACACAATACTGGAAAATTTTACTGTCTAAAACAGTTGAAATCAAAGCTCCTGAATTGCTTGTTTGTCCTTAGCTTTTTGTCCAGGGGAAAAAACAATCAGTAGTATAAGACAGAATAAAACTGGAAAGTCAAATATTATCACTAGCTTACTTAACTAACTACATTTTTTATTTATAATTTGCTTGGGTTTTATGTACTTGGAAAAAAACGTGAGAAAACTTGTACAGAAGATTTCCAGTGGCCTCACATGTTTACCATGTGTGTTTTGATCTTGCATACTGTAATTAGTGTGGACATACTCATGGTTTACACTGAAGTGCTTGATCCGGTTTTAGGTGTGAAAATGGGCTGAAAATAGTGGAGTTGCTGTGTGTGTGTGATTAGAGTGATTAGAAAGAGAAACAGGTGTTTTTGTAGTTGCTGGCTTTGTAGGTTTCACATGGACTTTTCCATCATTTGCTTTCTGTTGACCAATTGGTTTCTCTTCTTGCTTGTAAGAGTAACTGGAAGAAACATCTTTGAAGTAGGAAAACATTCTTATAAAGTTTTTGCAAAATTTCGGAAACTATAAAAATTGGCCAGGGTCTGGATTGCAGGACGATGGGAAATAACTGAAAAAAACTTTCAACTCTTGGTTTGAAATTCACTCAACTTCAAGTCCTTTTCATCTTTCAGACAAATCTCTCACACAGAAACAGCAGATAAGTGTGAGCCTGCAGCATTTTAACTTTATCAGATCAATTGAATGCTGCTTCAGTACAGGATATAATTGAGTATTACAGCTATACTCTTCCCAGGAACTCCTTATTTTCTTTTTTTGCTCCATCTTTAATTTGAAGGTTAGAAGGTGATTTTTTTTTTTTCTCACAACTCTCATTTTGAGCCATACAGCACTCACATGCTATCTCCCTCCCATGCTGAGTATATGTTTTTTTGTCAACACCATAATCCCTATGTTTCTATAGATATTCAGCATTGTAACATACCTTCTACCTTTTAATACCTTTGACAGTGTTTTTTAAGTTCGTACATAAAAGGTGATAGTTACTTAATACCAGAATATATACCTTAATATATACCTTAATGCCAGAATAAATTTCAAATTATTCTGAAATTGTGGCATTATTCAAGGACATGGGAAAATTATTTCAGACTTAATTTATGGTACATAAGGATATTTAACCACTCAGACTATTTTGCTGGGCACCAAGATACCCTGGATGTCTCACAATCAAGTAGGAAAGTCTGTCTATAAGAAATGTAGGCAGGAGTCAGTTCAGGGACATTCTGTAGCCTTTGCAACATAGGACATCAGACTGGATGACAAAAATAGTCCTTTCTTGCCTAATGACCTACATAAGGTATTATGTTCTAAGAACCCTTTTGTTTTCCCCCTGAGAGAGGGACTACAAAGATCATGCTGAGCTGAGTAACGGGGGAGATTGCAATCTGGTTACCACTGCAGCTCTGTGTTCTGCTTTCAGAGGCTGGAAAGTCCTTGACGTGCAGCAGTCCTACCTCCGTTTTCACTGTGGTTTCTACAGCTGATGAATGATTGTCTTGAACTTTTCTGATGTGATACTAGAACATCCATGTTACTCATAATGAATGTAGTGCTGAAGATGTGCTTTAAAAAGGAGCTTTATAGCAAGGAAAGGCTTGTTTATAGCGAGGGATAAAACGAAAATATTTTTTTTAAAGCCACCTTTTTGAAAAGTTAATTGTAGTAGTGGTGGTGACATTTATCACCAAATGTAATCCTTTTTATTTTCAAATGACTTTGTGAAAGGCACGTAGGAATTTTCTCACTCCTAGAATTACAGAAATAGTGTAGTGGTAACTATTCTGCATCTCTGTATTGTTTCAGTCCAGCAGAGATTACAATTTGGAAACAGGAGGGAAGCATGAGTACCCCAGGTCTTGTATTTTATAAACTAACACTTGTAAAATGCACATTAGTACAGTATTATACAGTTAACTAGCAGGCAGTGAGTAATGAGAGAGCTTTTGCACACCTGCTCCTCCTGGAACAACTTTTTCATAGTTGGGATTTTTTTTGCTCTCAGCAGTGAATAGAAAGGCAGGGAGGGCATGCATTGTGCATATGCAAAGTGTTTCAGCTGTGATGGAATGGGTTCAAGAGTGGGGTTAACTGGAGTGAAAGAAGCTAGCAGGACTCAGTAATGTGGTGAAATCGAGGCAATCCCTCCTTATCAGCATTTTATCAACAATATAACCTTAAATATTCAGTTCATCACTGATTCATCACTTTAATGTTTATCGTGATCCTTTAATACCTTGGTTGATTAGATCTATAAGCTGCTGTAATACAAAGAACTTTGCCCAAGGCAAATTAGAAGAAAAATCAGAGGAGGAGGGGAAAAAGCTCAACATTGATAAAAGGGTTAATTAAGTGAATTAGAAGGGAAGGTAATGTTTGCTTTTTAAAAAGTGGGGTAATTTTGTGTTCAGCATAATTTGAAAGTGGTGCATAACCCATAACTGACTTGGAATATTACTTGTGAGGAAAGAAAATAAAGTTCTAAATAATATATGTAAAGCAAATAACTTACCAATATGGTATGTTATTAGCAACTTTAGGTGTGTTTTTGAGGCATTGTTTGACATCACAGTTTCAAAAGCTGTTAAAAAATGTGTGGTGATTAGAAATTATGGCAGAGGGGAAAAAAAATTTTGTGGTCTTCTAGAGTTGGCTCTATGAAAGCACACAGTTTGCCATAGCTTTAGTCCAGTGAAATTCTAGATGGGAATTTAGCATATATCTTCATGTATATTTAAGGGAGATATTTACTGGACTGGGTAGTATGTGTTGATGTAGCATATTGAACTGACAAAACACCTATTAATGTAGAATTCGTTCACTTTAAAATTTCTACCTGAAGAGTCATTGTAATGAGACCTAAATGTTTTAAACCAATCATAATGTTTAAAAATAAATTTTTAAAGTATTTTCAAATTGGGCAAAACAATGCAGGGTTTTTACTTAAATACACACATTTTATGTATGCTTTTTAACAGATGGCAGTGTTTATTGTGAATTCAATGTTCTGATTGCAATTTAAGGAGAGCAATGTGGAGTAAATGGTCAGAATGTAAAACTGAGATTCATGATTTAGGAAACAGAAGATGTTTTCCTTTAGCTTTTTTGGTCACTACTTCTGCCATTTGTATATCAAGTTTAATTGCAAAAAAAATGTGTTGGCTCTTCTTTGTGATGATCTGGTACAGTTAGTCTGCCATTTGTATTTCACGAGGAACTGCATACACATTTCTCCTATGTAAGTTTGATTGTACTTAGCTGACAGAAAATACTCAACTGGAATTACTTGTTCCATTTAAGAAAAAAAAAGTAAGCAAACTATCCCACATTTTTTATATTTGTTTACAGATCTGCAATTATGTTGGACCTGCAAAAGTAATTGTCCAGTTAGTAACTAATGGGAAATACGTCCACTTACATGCTCACAGCTTGGTGGGTAAATTTTGTGAAGATGGAGTGTGCACAGTTAATGCAGGACCTAAAGATATGGTTGTAGGGTAAGTCTGTTAACTCCTTTGTAAACCTGAGCACCAACACTGTAAGAAGCAATGCAGAAATACTACTAAGAGTCAGCTAAATGGAGCACTAGTCTTCATGCTCTGATCTGTTTTGTTTGTATCTTAAACAGAAAAATCAATGATGTTGCTGCTTACCTTTGTAGAATTTGTCCTAAGCAAGCTAAATAGGTTTTAGTAAATAATATTCACTTAGAATTTGTAGAATTTTAATCTCTTGGTGTCCAGTCCAAATTTATATTGTAAATCCATTCTTTGAAATGTAAGTATATTTGATCAGAGAAGGGACTAAAGTTACTGAAGAAAAGCTTTTATTACTGCTTTGACTAATATTTTATTTTTATTGAAATCTGCCACTAGGAATATAATTAAGACAAAATCATTAGAAAATAGGATTACTAAATTTGAAATTATTGCAAGACATGTATAAACATGAAAATACTAAATAAGTCAAACTTTCAAAGTTTAAAGCAGTAAGATTGTTGTGAAATTGTAGTTGGTCTGTTCTTGTTTAATTTAAAAGAATAATTGTTTATATCGGTAAATGAAGCTGAGGCTCCCAACCATGTTTTCAGGCTTAGATCAGGTTTCATGCTGGCTGTGAGTTTTAGTTCTGTGATCTCAAGAATGTCTTTGTTGGTGAAGAAGATGAAGTTTAAAAAGCTGAGAAGGTTGGGAGAGAGATATTCTTTTAAACTGTAACTTTTGATGTCCAAGCCCAGTGCACTGACTTTACCGAGAACAACAATTTAAATAGCTTTATTTTAAATGCTCCTTTTCATCTTGAAAAGTTTGGCTCATTTACTAACCTGTCTTGTTTTTCATCAGATGTCAGATGTTTAGAAACAGCTTTCCTGTCCTCATTTGACCTGCATGAAAATTGAGTTATTGTCTTGTTTTCATACTTCCAGATCTAATTGATTTTTAAATGTGCCAAGACATTTTTACAAAAGCAGATCTTGCATTATGGAAGTTTTCATTCAAAGAGATACCTGAAGTGTCTGGATGAATGACCAGAGCCTTGTTTAAAATATTTTCTTTGGAAAATATTGCACTGTTGTAAGCTTCTTAGCTTGCTCTCCAAACTGTTTTAAACAGATGGAGCTTATTCTGAGCAGTTTCTCTGCTTAACAGACATACAGAATGACATATTAATGTCATTGCCAAGACAGAGCAAACAAAGTGTAACAACCGGATTTTCCGATGTTTAGTAAGTTGCCTTCACAGTGTAAGTTTGAAACCTGAGAAATTACTACTTATGCCACAGAAAAATCCTAAGATCACTGCCATATGATGGTGCTCATTTTACATGTGTTATAAGCTTGGCTCAGTTTTGCTTGGTGGAGAATTTACCCTCAAGAACTAATAGTGCCTAATTAAGCCTGCAGAGTCCTCCTTTTGACTTCAGTTGTGTAGCTGTCTCTGGTAACAGAAAGCTACCTGCCTGCTGCAGGTTTGGCATAAAGTATTAAGAAAATACCTTCCTCAATCAAAATTTGGCAGGTTTGCAAATCTTGGAATACTTCATGTCACAAAGAAGAAAGTGTTTGAAACTCTGGAAACACGCATGATAGATGCTTGCAAGAAGGGATACAACCCAGGACTCCTGGTGCATCCTGAACTCGGCTATCTGCAGGCAGAAGGATGTGGAGACAGACAGCTAACTGGTATGTAGAAATGATGGCCTGGTTTTAATTGGTCTTTTACTAAAAACAGATTGAGCTTCTGAAAACACAGTTCTTGGGTAGGAAAACAGCCTATGGCTATGTGCATTAAGATCTGTTGTGCTGTTGATGTGTTTTAGGGAGTCTGAAACAAAGAGTCTTTGCTGTCAACAGACACATGAGAAGGAAGCAACTTCCTTCCATAGCTGCCTGTACCCACCTCTGCACTCATATTCCGTTGCTCTTAAACTGTTTAATAAGCCTTAGAGTAATTTTGCATTATTGCAGCAAGACATGATATCGTTAATTAACTTAGGAACCTCCTTTCGAGAACACTCTTTCCTTCAGCTGCGTTTCACCCGTGTCTTTGTAAAACCTGTGGTCTGTGTTGCTTTCAGGTACTGTGTGAAGGAGCCATCCTTCTTTTTATCACTCTTAACACCAGGAATTCCAGTGTCCTTAGTGGTGACCTTTGTCCTTTTTGCAACCATTATAAATTGAGAGCAGCAGATAGTAATTTTCGGTCTTTTTTTAATTATATGCCTTAAGTAAGATCTGATGCACAAACTGCATTATGAGTGCAGTATAATTTGAATAGGGGGCCCCTGGTGGTCTAGTGGTTAGGGTGCAGGACTCTCACCGCTGCGACCCGGGTTCGAGGGGCCCCTGGTGGTCTAGTGGTTAGGGTGCAGGACTCTCACCGCTGCGACCCGGGTTCGATTCCCAGCCCCCTGGGCAGATGGAGCTCGTTAGCCCTGTAAGGCCATCCATCTAAGAGAAGGTCACTCTAAACAAACCTACGTCCTGAGACCCTCACTGCCACTGTCCAAGCTTGCTCAGCCCTGGCAGATGAACCTCAGGATTAAAGGGTGGCCTCAGTTCAGCGCACACTGTGTGTCACCTAAAAAATCCACTGCGCAGGCTCGAAGGGTGAATGACCTTTCCCAAATCTTCGCTCGGAAGACTGGCCATTATAATTTGAATAGCTACTCCTCTCTGCTTAAAAACAGAGAACCCGATGGATACTGTGTAAAAGAACACATTTCCTCGCTGTTGGTGCCTTTTGATAGTAATGTTTCTTCCATCTGTTTTGTTATGGGTCCCCTACCCCTTGTGTTACTTCATCTGTCTCCTTGTCGGTTCCAGAACGAGAGAGAGAAATTATCCGCCAGGCAGCGATACAGCAAACTAAAGAAATGGATCTCAGTGTCGTGCGTCTCATGTTTACAGCCTTTCTTCCTGACAGTAATGGCAGTTTCACACGGAAACTCGATCCCGTTATATCAGATGCAATATATGACAGCAGTAAGTATATTTGGCTTTAGTTACTTTTTTAACAAGGGGCAAGCTTGATGGGTCGATATTGCTATACATAGACTCATCTAGCCCTGCTGCTTGCCTGTTATTTGATGAATAAGTAGCCCATGGATAATTAGCCCCATGTCTGTCCAAGTACATGTAGTATCATTCTGGTTTTTAATGGATGGTGATGTAAGCCACTGAGCAAGATGTTATTTTGCTGTTGGCATGTTTAATCCTGCCGCTTTTATTATGAGGATTTTGTAAATTCTTGTTACATTCGTAAGAAGGGCTTGAATTTTGCGGTTTTCGGTTGCTTTTTGTGACAAAGTCTTGTCACACAGGATGTGAGGAAAAAATTACTTTGCTTCAATCTTTGTTGAGAATTTGACACCTTTCAGTTTTGCTGACCATCTGCTTGTCCTTGTTTTGAGAGACTAACATAACCAGAGTTCTCAATTCATTTCCTTTAGATCTGTCAGTGATTTTTGTACTCCTGTTACATCCCTCTGTTTGTCTTTTTTCTAAGTGAATCTTTTCACTTCATGTTTTCCCTTGTGCTTTTTGATTATACTGACTCATTTTACCTGAATCCTTTCTGCTGCCTGAGTTATCCTCCCTGAGGCTGTGGATTACCATGTTCCTGATAGTCATTCTGTAATGACTCAGAAAAAGTACCATTTTTTTCTTTTGCAACAGTCATGTCTATATCATTGCTTTTTAAGGGCAAAGTCTAGATGAAAAGGTATTAAATGCAACTATTCTACTATGTCTGTTCCTTGCTATTAGTTGGGAAATGTAGTGATGTCAAAAATTTTAACTTTAACTAAGGAGACAAATAAAGGGGAAATTTTGTAAGCGTGTTTCTGCTGTTGTAAGTTGCTACACAGATGTCAGTTACTAGTTTCTGATCTCCCAAGGGGAATTCTTGATTGTTAATTTCAGAAGATTTTTCTTGGGTTTTGTTTGTTGTATATGTTTTTTCTAAAAACTCTTCTTTGCTACCATTCAAGCCTCTTTCACACAACAGACATAACTTGTGGTAGCATAACTGCCTGTCACAGCTGCTTTTACTTATCAGATGATAGTTCTGTCTGGAGGACCAATAGCTTTTTATCGATGTCTCTGCTAGGACCCGTGGAGGTGGGCTTTTTTATCACAGTCCAGTAAACTGGCCAAAAACTGACATGCTTTCAAGTAAACCACAGTATAAAGCAAAGCATTGTGAGATAGTGAGATACAGAAAACAGCTCTCAAGAGTGTGAGGCTGTCAGAAAGCAGGGAAGAAAAAGCTATGTTCTCTTGTACTGCCCTTTTGTCATAAAATTAGTACTAGTGCAGGTTGCTGGATGCAGTTCACTGCTGGGCTACTTTGCTAGTGGAGTAATTATGGACCTTATTTTATAGTTCATAATTCAGTCAAAGCTTAGAGGATACAAGGTTATGCCTTTCATATGAAAAGCTGTTGATTTATTCATGTTTAAAAAAACAGACAAATTTAAGTAGGTTGTATTGGAGGCTTGTCTTTCTATTGCATTTCTGTGTGTTTTGCTTGTTGTTTTTTTTTTTAAATCTTTAACTGTTATGAAGTTAAGCATTTTTTTAACCTTCCCTTTCAACAGAAGCTCCCAATGCCTCCAACTTAAAAATTGTAAGAATGGACAGAACAGCAGGGTGTGTGACAGGAGGGGAAGAGATTTACCTTCTCTGTGACAAGGTTCAGAAAGGTAAGAGTCCGAGTATTTTAAGATGCACCAGGGTGTTCATCTGGAGTACATGTGAAGCCTGCTGTGCTGCCTTAGTATTCTCCCACTCTGATACTGCAGCAGGATTTGTAAGCACGCAGCCTTTCTAGAAGTCAGGCCAGCAGTCCAAAAAATTAATAAATCAAAATAGTCTCTTGCAAACAAATTCAGCTTGTGTTGCCTCCACTGAGACCATGTGATCACCTTTGTTCTTCTCAAGAGTTTGCCCTTCACCATTTTCTGGATTTTTTTGTGGGTGGTGGGTCCTGGGTGACATTTGACTCCATTAACTAACACCTGCTCTGAATTATTCTAAAGTTTATGATTTATCATTAACTTCCTGATTATAAGGAGTAAGTATGAACATTCTCTGTTGACCATGGATTGGAACTTAATGTGTTCAGCACTACTGCTAGTAACTTCATTTTTATGTATATGCTAACGGTAGAGATTACTCTATGTAAACATACTTCTCATAGGTTCATTTTCAGTCTCTGCTCATGGCTTTGAATGTATCAGAATTTGGCAGTGTGGATTTGGATGCTTTCTTTTTGTATAGGAAGATAATGGTTAATATGGTTGATTGTATTTGGGCTAAACTAAAAAGAAAAAAACATGGGAACAGGGGAAGTCCTTTGCATTTCTCAGGTACAGGTAGTACTTGAGACTCCCTGGTGTAGATTGCATGGTAGAGTGGGTACCTTGTTCTCAACTGTTTGGAATCAGTTCCTGCACATGTTGTTAAAATCACACTGACATTTTCTGTTAAGGCAGGCTGTCCTTTTCCATCTCTCTTTCTTGCAAATGCCCTTCTATGAATTAGGGAAGAGAGAGGGCTTTGGGGACTTCCAGGGACTTAGAAAAAAGATAGGGCTTTGAGGGCTTCTTAAAAGAAGGGACTTTGAAAAAACTATTTCCCTTCAGTAGTGTATCTACCCTTTGCCATCAGGGCTGAGATAAAACATAACTCTTGTGCACAAAATAAATAAATAAATGTCTGACTCAGTGGAAGCCCTGCGGTGGGGTTTCCCCTCAGCCAGATTGGGGTTTCCCCTGACCTCATTGCTTTCAGAAACCTCATGCCTGAAGGAACTTGAGCATGCAGGACAGCAGGACTGGAACTGGTGGTTCACAGTCTTGAGTCTAGCAGGTGTTGGATCAGAGGAAGCAGTCTGTCTGCTCCAGAAGCCTGTCCTGCATCAGTCACCCTAAGAGAGAATGGGCTTTTTCTGGGTTTTTTTCTTGCCAGGAGTGCCGGGAAAGGAATTTGCTAGTGTGACGTTTCTCAAAAAAGTATAAATAAATAAATACAAAGAGAATGAAAGAAGATTTGCTTAGAGGAGCAAAAGCCAAATGACATGTTTCTGGCCCGTGCTGTGTTTGGAGGGTGAAGGATCGCTGCTGACATGCTGCTCGGTCACACCCTCGCCGCCTCTCTGGGCTGCAGCTCCAAGGTGGCACTCTGCCAGCAGCAAGCGGAACTTGAACTGTGGCACTTCAGGTTTTGCTACAGTTTTTTTGAACTGAAACTGTTGGAGGAGAGAGGGTGGTTTCTACATTTCACGCTTCAAGTTCTCCCCTCCTTACATGTTGGTTTCAAATAAAGCTCCTCTGGAATGTTTTATAGCCCTAGAATAGGAAGAGGTAGTGAACCTAGTTCTCTTTTCACAGCTCAGTAAGTAGCAACTTCAGTGAAGTCATTACGATCAGGCTGACCTAACAGTGGTGTCAAAAATGGGTTATTTCTGATGTTTTCATAAAATGGATAAAGCTAATTGCTGTATTGTGTAATATTGTCATTCAGCCAAAAAGTAAATGTGTTGATTTTTATCTGAAATAAACTTAGCCAAAGGTTAAACAAATGCCCAAACATCCCAGAGTGTGCTTCTTTCATTCTTTGCAGATGATATTCAAATACGTTTCTATGAAGAGGATGAGAATGGTGGTATGTGGGAAGGCTTTGGAGATTTTTCTCCTACAGATGTACATAGACAGGTAAGTAACACAGCATTTGTCATTTGTTAATGATTTTCTCATCTCTGTAAACTAGGATTATATTATAGTTAGTAAATGAGGTGAAAGCATCTGTATCCTGTACTGACCTCTTCTTTGGCTGGTTACTTCCTAGTAACAATACAAACAACAGTTCTTTAAAGACCTACATTAGGTAACTATGCAGGTTGGGAATACAGTGCAAGGAAATTGGGAGATAGCACATGCACCAGTGTAAATTGGGATACGATATATAAACAGCTCTGAGAGCTCCTGTGAACACAGTGATAAAGCCACAGAATAGATGCTAAATGAGGAGGGGACAAACAGTGCAGTACTAACATATGTGATGGAGTGGTACTTTGCATGACAGTTCTGTCTTTCCCTAAAGACCTTAGGACTCAACCTCAGGAGTGAAACTGAAAACTACAATGGAAGTTTATTGTTGTAACAGCCCTTTGCTACAACTTTTTGCCTCCCAAGCTGTAAACCAACTCCTACAAAACAGTGCAAACGTAAAAACAAAGTTGCCAAAACCCATGCTCCGTGATAGTTATCTTCCTATTGTTTCCTTCACAGTTTGCTATCGTGTTCAAAACCCCCAAGTATCGCGATGTCAATATCACAAAGCCGGCATCTGTGTTTGTACAACTGCGGAGGAAATCGGATCTGGAAACAAGCGAACCAAAGCCTTTCCTCTACTACCCAGAAATTAAAGGTAATTCATTAAACCTGTTTTATATATTGGAAACAGAAACTGTAGGGTCCTTAGAAATGTTTTTAGTAAGTTAAGACTTGCTGGATAAGGACTTTTTTTTTTTTTAGTTGTTGTTTTTAGAAAATATTATATTTGCCTCTTAATTTTGGGCAGAGCCAATATGAAGCGTGGTGGCTTTGTAATGGCTTTGTAGGTGTTTTTATTGGACTGGTAGGCAGTAAATCGACAAATATTTTCTTAGTGAGGCTCGCTCATGCACACATGCCTGTCTGTACGGTAGATGGCACTCTCTTCCTCTGAGTTTCTGCAAAATAATATCTGAGGGCATTTTACTGTCAGTAATTTCAGCTGAAACCTTAAACCAAAGATTGGTTGGTATCTGGTGGAAAAGGTACGTATTTTGCAGTTCTCACATTTTACCAGCATGCCAAGTCACTGATCTTTTTGAATTTTCCAAGACTGAGACATTTCTTGTGAGAGCAGGGAAAGTGCTGTTGCAATCTCTTGTGTTTAAAGTTTCAGTTACTTAGCAGAAGTAGAATAGTTGGTATTGGACCTGCTTCCTAAATTATTAGTGAAAAGAAGTTTAACTAGCAGATCTGTGCCCTTTTGAAGTCTGCATTTGAAATGTTTGACATTAATGGCAGGAGCAATCATGATTTTAAATACCAATAATGTTAATGATATGGAAATGCCTTGAGGCCCAAGTCATAATTGCTGTTTCATTGTATTAAGACAATCTTTCTGCTTAACAGTTTACCTGCCTGCAGGTTACACTATTAAGTTCTAATCTAGAATGTTTTCTATGTTTTCTGTGCCTAACTTAGAGCTGTGTTGAAATCAGTTCCCTGTCAAAATCTCTAAAATATGTGTGTCTGAAAGCATGAGTGGTAAGGGACTCAGGACAGCTGGAGAGGGAGGGATGGTGGTTGATGTCCAAGAGAGTCTAGTTTAAACTTGTTATAATAAAATAGAAGAAAACATGCATTCACAAAAGCTTCCAGAGTTGCCAGAGGATTTCTTCTTGGTAACGATTTCAGGAACCTCTTGTATAAGCATTATGGGAAGTGAAGTATTCAACTGCAGAGCGAAGTTGCCAGATTTAAAGCAAACTGCTTTTATATGTCTCTCAATGGAGTAAAATTAATTGAACATGATGTGCATTTTCAGATCCCCTATACAACCTAATCATAAAATTACCATTTAGGAACATTTGTTACAAGTGTTTACACAAACTCAGACATACGTATGTGGCTTTTTTTGTTTGTTTCTCTGACTAGATTGCTCTCTAGAGTTTTCTGTCCTTGTCAGTGTGAGTATGCCTGATGTGTGCATGCATATGTACTTACAGATCATGTATGCCTGGAGATAATGCACGTGTATTTTTCAGTGTACTGTTTCATGTGTTCAGCTGTCTCATTGTGCCTGTGCATGAAATTTCTTTTTGTCACATGGCTATTGAAAACTACTAGATGGTTTAATAAACAGATTATATTTTCTTCTTTCCTCAACAGTTCTACTGGATTTTAACCCATATAATGTTTGTATCCCTATTTTTGTAGCTCTTGTAATGACATTTTCACTTTTCCCAGTCACTGCAATAATCCTTTTAAATCTTTGTGTTTTGCTTTCCAGGGGGGCTAAGTCTTATTTCGAACTTACACTATAAAATACATTCAGGTTTTTTTTCTACTGCTGCTTAGCATGGTTTGACAGTATTATGTCCTGGTTGAAAATAAGGACATTGTTGAAAATAAACTCCTGTCATTGTTCTAGGAGCTTTTAAGATATTTTAAGTAAATAATTTCAAACAAACATGGTTTTCACCGTCACTTGCCATCCCTTAAACAAAAGTTCAGAGGGCACTGCAGGTACCTCTGCTAAGGGTCCATTTCTCAAGTAGATTTGCTTAGTAGAAGAACCTGTGCTTATATTCCCCAAAGACAAATTTTCTTGAACAAGTTTGTGGTTTGGGGAACTTGTGCTGATTTATGACTTGGCTTAGACATTGAAGAATTTTGGGACCACTGATTTCTAGGGCTCTAAGTACACAAGATACTTTCGTAGGAATCTCTGAGCCCCCTAAGGCATCTCTGCATGTGTCCGCTGCAGTCTGAGCACAAGGCACCAACACAACTGAAGAGACAACACAGGCCCCAGCTATGTTGCTGGTCTGACTGGGGACTTGGCACTAGCTTGTTTCTTGGAGGAATTCTCACTGCTCCAGTACATACAAAGTTAGGCTCTGTTATTTGGAGTTTGAAGAAAGTTGCCTCTTCTTACCACACTCCGCATTTTCCTTTCTAAAGTAGTAAACTGTAGTAATGCTTTCTGTATGCACGTCTGTGCTGTGCATGGCCAGCAGTAGGACTGACTCCTCTCCTGTCTGTTCCTTCCATCCCAGATAAAGAAGAAGTGCAAAGGAAGCGACAGAAGCTCATGCCTAACTTCTCTGATGGCTATGGTGGAGGCAGTGGCACTGGAGGTGGTGGCATGTATGGAGGGGGAGGTGGCGGTGCTGGCTCTGGTAAGGCAGTGGTTTTGAGTGAAGAGGGAAAGGGATAGATGTTTGGGATACTTTGAGAGCAGGATAGATGTTTATTCTGATTTTTAAAATGTGGTGAGGATTTTGTCTCCTCCTAGGAGGAGTCCTAGATAAGACTTGACTCTGTTACCTTTATAATAGTGTCACTCAATTGAATCAAGCATCTCCTTGTTTTCTAAACACTTCCTCATCTCCTTTGCCTTCCTACTTTGGAAGCTTTGTTGCTTCCTGGGGCCTCGAAGGCACTGAAATTCATGAGACAGCTCAGTTAAGTACTGTATTGGATGCTGAAAATTAAACAGGTTCTGAATTATGTCTTGGACCACTAGTGGTATTTGGCAAATTAACCCTGTTAGTGCAAAGAACTATTAAAAAATTGGAGATACTATTTAGTAAATTTTCTACAGTGCTCTATCTGTTGAAGTCGGAGTGTATCTGATACGCAGGATCATAAGAGCATTGCTTTGGTTCTTGCAGCAGAGCATTAAAAACCTGTAGATCAGCAAATGTCATCTGAACAGCAACGCTTTTTTTAGAGCAGGGAACAGAGCAGCAGTTTTCAAACTGTTACATGTGTTGCCTGCAGCACATCTATAGCATAACACCAGAATACAAATCTGTTGTGGTCACAAAGATTCAGAAGCATAGAGGCAGCTTGTGATGTCTCTGCTGAGTTTTAGATGAAGCATATAGTGATATTACATTTGTGTGGTCTTACAAATATTGGGGTAGAGAGTGTCACTAGCCAATCACCTAGAATTTCTTTGGATTTTTGGAGAGGTGGGGGAAAGCTCACCTTTAGCCTGGAAAATTTATTATAATTGGATAGAATAAAGCAGAAGGTGTGCAGAAAACAAAAATCCACTTCTTTAGCTTCACGTTCTCCTAGGTGGTGTTTTCATTGCTTTAGGATGCAATTCTGTTAATTCTTAATCTTCTTCCTTTCTTTAGGGTTCAGTTATCCTTCATATGGATACTCTGCTTTTGGAGGGATGCACTTCCACCCTGGCACAACAAAGTCCAATGCTGGAATGAAACATGGTAACAGTAAAAACGTCATTCTTCCAAGAGTTGAATTGAGTTTGACCTTCTGTATTTTCTTCTGCAGTATGAGCCCAAGTGTCATGCAGGTCTAGCTAAGTGATTATGATTATACTGCCCTGCTTGTCTTTTTTCCTCTCCAAATCTACCTTAACAGCTGTGTGCATGTTCCTTTTTACTTCTGACTCCTGAGAAGCAGTTGCCAAAACCCCTCCATGTGCTTCTGTATTCAGCATATGTTTCAAGCAACAGCCCTTTTACTTGCTTGAATGTGCTGATTACAGGACCCAAGGACTAGACTAGAGAAAATGTATCTTCCTTCGTTGCCACAGTCTGGTACTACACAGTAGCCCAGAGAAATCAGTGGAAAAGATTAAATTGTTAATAAGGACACTCTTGGCTTCCTATAATAGGAAGGTAATTTCAGATCTACATGTTGAATACTCTGTAGTTATTTCCACAGTCTCAGGGATGGATTTGCCATTAGGAAAACAAAAATGAATATGAATAATTCTGCTAGATTTCCTGAGATTACTTCAGACTTACATTCTTGTACCATAAAAAGAGAGGTTCATCTGTTGTAATATATGAAAGTTTATTTTTAAAGCAGAGGCTGTCAAAAACATGACATAACTTCAGAGCAAGTTACATCACTATGTCTGTCCGAATGCATTGGCATCTGAAATTATATGATTCATGAGTTTAATGATAACACCTATGTTAAAGTAAATTTTTATATTGATTCTTCAGGGTTTGGTTTTGTCTAGTTGAGCTTTATCACTTGCATTAAAAAAGCAATGGTATTGGACACTAACGATTCTAATTTTTGTTAGAAGGACTATCAAATAGCACAGCTGAACAAACCAGGAAGAGCTCTGATAAACAAAGTGACAAATGGGACATGAAACATGATGTGAAGGTGGAAACTGTGGAGAGGACTGTGTGCAGAATGTCTGCTGATAATGAGGAGAAGGAGGATGCTGCTTCTTCCTGTAAAACTGAAGTAAACGAAGCAGATTTCAGGTGGCAGGGTAAGTGAACAAGTAAATGTATTTATTTAGGGTAGATCAAACTGCTGTAAGGGTAAAGCTAGTGTAAAAGGCCTGGAAACTCCATAAATGTCTGCTTGCTGTTTTCAGAACATGATAATGCCTCCTGGAGGAAACAAGAGGGATTCCCTTCCACCAAATCTAGAGTCCCTCCCCATACATAGTTCTGTAGGTAAACCGTTGTACTGCCACTGGGCACTTGAGCTTCTGCTTGTCATGCAAAGGAGATGAGACAGCTTATCCTGCTGGGCATGTTTAACACTGCCTTTTTAATAAACCTGTATAAGGAACAGCCGCAAGCAGTGAAGGCACAAGGGATACAATTCAGCAGCTGACTTGGCTTTTGATATTTGATAGACTGTAATGGATGTGTAAATGGATGTTGGCAGTGATTGCAGAAAAGAACTACTGCAACAACACTGTTAAATTGCATGCAAAGTAGTGTTACAGGTTTGAATTTGAAATGAAAAGGTATCTTTTCCCATATGGCAAATACCCAGTAAAATAACTGTTGGGTAGCAAAGTGTTATGTATCAAACAAAACAGGAGGAAGGCAAGAGTAGTCAATGGAAATGATTTAGCAGCAGAGCTGTAAAATATACAAAGACCGCAAATCACCCTCTCCCAGAGCAAGACATCCTTTTCCTGGATTGTTTTTTAAAATAATTGATGGACACTTTTTTAAAGGAATTGAGTTATTGTGCTTATCATAAAATCAAAAAACCAACAGTTGGATTACAGAGACATGCTAGCAGTAGGAATTGAGCAGGAAGGAATGTTTTGTTCTTGGCTCTTACCAAGTGCAACATGATCTAGACCACTTTAGTTGTTCGTTGGATCAGGGAGAGGGCATGTTATCTTGTGTGTATCAGCCATGTAAGGCACTTGCTATTAACAGCACTAGAAACCATGGCTTGGGAAACCAAAGTGGCATAATAGCTGGGTTTTAGTTGTAAAGCTTCTTGTGGTCTGAGAACAGATGGTACTGTTGAGAAAAGCTGAAGGAACTTGCTGTTTGCAGTTCTGGTTGTGATAAATCACGTGGCTGGTTCAGAGAGCAAAATCTTTTGCTGATATGAAGAACTAATAATGTCCATTTAGCAGTCATGAAGGAGAGGCCTGAACTGTTTACCTGTTTTCCGAGTAATGAATGTTGTAGGCAGGAAGTTTACCATTTCTCTTCTGTATCTATTGTAATGGCATGAAAGGAGGCAACTTCTAGCTCCAGATTATATGAAGAATGGGTGCAGAAGAACAGGCTTCATAAAACAGCTGCTGTAGGCTAGATCATTTGGGTATTAGACTAAAAGATGCTTGTTGTATTTTGAAGGATATTTTTTCTGTGTTTGATATGGAAAACCAGGGAGTTTCAGCATCTAGTTCATTGGTCTTTGGAAATGTCTAAATGAGAAAAGACCAAATTGCTTAACGCCCTTTACCCTGACTATTTATCCTGAACATAACATCCATTTAATGCAATTATTTAGTGTAAAGAGGTAAATAGCAAATATGAATGTAGCAGCCCAGGCATGCAGTGGAGCAGCCACAGTGATGTATTGGTTGGAACAATAAGCTTCGTGGATAGCTGAGTAAGTCTTTGCCTTACAGAAATGGTGAATTCCTGTTCATCAGGGATACACTTCTGACCCAGTCTAAATGCCTGGTTTTGTGTAACTGGAAATCCTGGGTATTGTTTCCCCGTGTGCGCTTTAAATGACGAAGTCTGTTGTACTTGTTTGCTCTTAGTAATTTCCAGCCTTACAAGGTTTTATGGAAACATGAAACTGTTCAAAATGCAGGCTGGTTTCAGATGATACTTCTCAAAATGATGACTGTAGTTTAAGAGTTCATCTGTTTCATTTTCACTCGTTTCTTGCTGATACAGAACCACGAAAGTATTGACAGAGCAGCCCGAGTTACTTTTTTTTTCCACAAATGAGTTTCTTTTCTCTCCTTTCTCCCTTTTGTCTCCCCATCACAACAAATTCTACTTTTTGAAATCTCAGTGGTTGTACATTTTATAAATCTAAAATCAGGATACTACAAATACTAAGCAGTATAAAAACTGAAATGTTTAAAACAGGAGCTGTGCTGCTGCTGTACAGCAGGAGAGACTGCATGATATGAGTCTGAGGAGCACAAAGCCCTGTGTTTATTTCATAGCTTTTCTGTGAGCATCTGTGCAATATTTGATGGGTCACTTAGGCTTCTTGTACCTCAGTTTCCTCAAGACAAAACTACTCAGAACTGCATGAGAGGTTTTTTTTAATTGCTCTATAGACAAGAGTCAGAGGTAGCTTCCAGGGTTTGAGTGTTCTCAGGGTTCCTGCTGCCTGAATGCTCAGCATGAACCTAGTTTTGATTCCAAGGGACTCGGTTCCCTCTGTTCTTATGTCTCAGGAGTAATTAGTGAATCAGTGAATAATGCTTGGTGGTCTGCACTTTGTATTTCAAGGACAGCACAAATGCCTATTGAAAGAAGGTGGTGTTCCAAGGAAGAGAACCAAACTGATGAAGACAAAACTTTGTTTTGCAGATTCTCTGTTCCTGGAGAAGGCCATGCAGCTTGCCAAGCGTCACTGCAACGCTCTCTTTGATTATGCTGTGACTGGAGATGTGAAGATGCTGTTGTCTGCTCAGCGCCATCTCACTGCTGTCCAGGATGATAATGGAGACAAGTGAGTTGACCCCACTATGCTTACTGGGTTGAAACTGATGATTTTAGTGGCAGAATGGTGTAGTCTATTTGTTCTGTCCCTTGTGTGTGCCAATCACAGATGGCAGCACTGCTCTCATCAAATGAATATCTTTCTCCTTTGTGCTGTTTGGAAGAGGTACAGCTGTGATTTAGAAGTTCTTGTTGCATTTGCAAACAAGTTGTGCACACTACAAAGTTCATTGATCCAGTACCTGTCAGAAAGTACTCTGGTCACTGAGGGTATGTTGAGCTTGTTGTGCATTTCTTTGCCATTTTTTTACTTACAGTCTTGACTGAGCATACACAATGGATGAGGATCTGCAGGTTGGTGCTGAAGGAGAGTGCCCTACTTTTTATTCCATGCAAGTCCTTAAGTCTTTATGGGAAGCTTAAAGTAAGAGATTCACTGGGAGATATAAACAATAGCTGGAGGGTCCATACTGCTTTTCTCCCACTGAAACCAGCTTCTTCCCAGAGGACATTATTTTGCTCTTGCTTACATCTATACTGTACTGTTGTCTTCCAAAGGATTGCACAGATGTTTGTGACAGACTTGGCTGCTAATATTTGCTTATCAGTCCTTCAATAATGTGAGCTGGAGCAGAAATCCATTTTGTTCCTCTACAGCTATGCAGATTCTGTGGAACTCAGAGTGAAATACTGTGAGGAACTAATGATTAGTAGTTACTTAAAGTGAAATTCAGCAGAAGCAGCTCTGAACATTTGCAGAGATAATCTCTGGTATAAGCAAGTGACTATCACATCCTCACTTCTCAGCTGGCAGGCCTTGAGCAGGCCCTGTGCAATTACCAGTATTTCCTTACATTGTAGTATTTTATACAGTAGAAACCACACAAGCCTTGAGGTGTCCAGCTGGAAGGAAAATTACAAGTGATTGAGACCTGTATCCCTGTTCAATTACTCTGTGAGAGGTTACTACTTTCATTCCACTTTTGGTGAAAATAGGTCTCAGATTACACAAAGAGGACTGCACAATCACAGAGAGCTACTTTACTCGCTTTGCTTTCCAATTGGCAACCTAATGTCTGCTTTCAGGAAAGCAGGAATATGAAAGAGGCAGGAGCTAGCAACAAAATCTGCCAGCGCTTTGGACAACACAGCTTCTGTGTTTAAAATGAAACAAGGGGGATAGAGGAGTATTGAGCAAGTAGGACCTGCATTTAAATATCAGTAAGCTGCCCCTCAGATTTGGACTTGCAGAGCATTTAAACTAAATCAAAATACTTTTCAGAATGATGATAAATAGTTGTTTTCTTCCTGAATCAAGAAGTATGGGCAAGCTCATGTTGCCTTTCTCCTGGGATGGATTTTAGTCTGTGAGCACATCATACATCTGTTTTACTCCATAACATTTTTAAAAAGAGAAGCTTTGGTGACTGTCTTCCATCTCTCTCTTGGAGGGAGGGGGAAGGTTAAAAATCATAAATAAATTTCCCTGACTTTCACTTTAATCATTACAATTATATGGCAACAAATAGAAAATTTTTGCTTAAGCCTTAAAAAAAAATGTTAGGCTGTCAACAGTTTTCCTCATCTTTCATCAAAGCAGTATGCAGGGAATGAAAATACCTTTAGTGGGCCTTGTGTTGTGTTTCATGGCCTTGAGACAGAACACAGTAATCTATGAGTAGAGTATGTTTACAAGTAACACCGGCTGTGACTGCATTTGTACCATTTGTACCAATACCACTCCTCTGCAGATACCTGATGGCTCCACAGGGATGCAGAAATGCATGTTTTCATGTAGGACTGTTTAAGAAATGGAACTGACTGCCCTTTTGTGGTCTGTTCAGCGTGTCTTTATAGTATCACATGTAGAGGCAGGATAAAATTAAAATACTTGCTGCAGAAAAGAGAATTAAAAGCAGTAGAAGAGCATATGTGTTTCTGAAGTGAGATTTGGAAATAAAATGTCAGCATAGTAAGAAGCATCTCCCAGAGAGCAGAGGAACAGCTCTTTTCCAGTAATGGCGGGTCTGTTTGAACAGCACAGGAGACTTGGAGGTAAAGTGCCATGGTACTGCCTATGGCAGTGTCTAGAACCAATAAAAAGGGCCCTGCAGGGTTGAATTTGGTTTTTAAATTATATTTTTTCCTTTGTTAAATTATCTTCTGGTTTTGAGTCCTCTCAGTCTCAATTTCAAGATCACTCTATGCCCTGAATGGCACGGAATTTCTTTTTATTTTTCTGATGAAAGTGTAAATCTGAGACTGTTCAGGTATTTCTGGAGCAGCATAACAGACACAGCACATGTCCCATGTTGATATCGTGTGTCAGCAGCAATATGCTAAACAGATGAGTCTAGAAGCTGGCCAGCACCTGCTAAAGAAGAGCTTGGCAGGATATGTTTAAAAACAAAGAGCATGACTTCCAAATGAAGTCTCAAGGGAACAAGAAATAGAGAGCTCTGTCGGACAGGGGTGATGGGATTCAAAACCTGCTTTTTTCTTGGTGTCATTTTGCTGCTCTGGCTGATGGTGAGGGACCTGCTCTGGAGAAGAGCACTGGAAAGGCCATTGCATTAACCCAGTAGAAGTGTCTTGCTATGCAGTCACTGATGTCCCGAAGCAGGGGTTTTTTTTGGCATGACGTCTGTGGCCAATGCTGCAAACCTTGTGGTTGTTAGTCACCAGGCCTGAGTCCTTAGTCAGTTTTCTGTTTGAAAGTGAAGGAAAGGAAAACCCACAGATCTGGCTGGGGAAACCCCAAGGGAAAATCTGCTTTGGAGGCAGAGGGGCCTGTGGAAATTCTGCAGGAAGCTTTTGACAGTGAGAGGTGTTCATCTGCTGCATAATTCAAAATATAAAAAAAACAAATGAGCAAAGAATCTGGGGATTTTCTGAAGCAGTTGTTTTGTGCTACTAATTTTGTATATTAGACTAGAAGTAAAGTTATGCTCAGGGCCGGCAAAAGCTATTCTGAGTTTGCTTTTGTGATTGAAAGGTAAACAGTTACCTTCTCACTTGCTTTTTTTAATGTTGGGGCTCATTTTAAGTGCTAATATTTAGTGCTGGAATCATTACCCCTAATAGTCAAGTGTTTATGTCAGAATTCAGTCAGATCTACAGCAAAGCCTTGAAATTTTTATAATAAATTTGAAAACAGTCTGAATTTGTTAATCTGCTTTTTGTTTGTTTCAGTGTCCTTCATTTAGCAATTATCCACCTTCATAGTGAGCTGGTGAAAAACCTCTTGGAAGTGATGCCAGATTTGAATTACAATGACATCATTAATATGAGAAATGACCTCTATCAGGTAGGTAGTTGTGGTGGTACAAATGTTGCTGATTGTCTGGCCAGTAAAAGAGAAATTGCTTCTGTGGGAAAGAGCCGAGATCTGACAATTCAAACAAGTTTAGAAACACAATGACATACTGTAAGGTGGTGGAGAAAGGAGAGCCTGTTTTCATAAATTTAGTCCATAACTCCCCTTGATGTTAACACAAGTGTCTCCAAGGGTTAATTGCAGAATAGGCCAAAAATGGTAAATTCTTCAGTTCATGTCTTCAGTATTTGGCTTCTCTGTTGCTAAACCAGCGGTATGTATTACACTGCCAGCTCTGGGCTCTTTTGACCTTTTAATGTAGGTTAATTCGGGATCATGAGCCAGTTGCTGCATCATCAGTTATCTATAGGCACGTGAAGCCATAGTAACTTATTCCCTTCCTACAGCCCAGACTGTATTTGTGTCCATCACATGAGCACCAAAGATTTCCCTTTCTATTTCTAGATTCGTATTATAGTAAAACCAAAAAAATAAGCCCATTTCCATGTCTTTTACCTTGGAGGAAAAGAACTCTTAACTGCCAGGCACAATTCTGTCTCCTCAGCTTCATCTGTGACAGAGTCTGAGCTGTTTGTATTGTAACTCAGGTTTTAGAAAGGGCTGTGGGAACCTGCCTGAAAAGGAATCTCTTCTAAAGAGATTGTGTGCACCATTTGGCTGTCCCACAGGTAACCAGCTGGACATTACACAGCAGCACTCTGACACTTGTGTTGTTTGTTTTGCTGTCAACAGTAAAGGCAGGGGTTTTTTCTATACAGATAGTCCCAGAAGGTTTGACTCCTTTGTTTTCTTTCACATTTCATTTTTGTGTTCATATAAGGCAAGTTTGAAATGTGGAGGCTGATCAAAGCAAGCAGAAGATTCTGAATTGAATTCTGTGCCCTCTGTTTAACAGAAACCAGAAGCAAAGCTGTGCTCCACACAAGAAATAAACCCCTGACTACCAGGACCTCTACACCTCTTCCTTCCTTTAACTTATACCTTAAACCAGTGATGGGAGAGAATGTAGGCTTGGGCTAGAATTTTCCTTCTGTACAGATATTCTGAAAGCTGAATTGTACATGTACCCTATAGATGCAGTAATTAATTGCAAATGTGTTGACAAATCTATTGACAAACACAAGCTTATTGTGCAAAGCTGGAATTAGTCTTTTTTTTTTTTTTAATAGTCCTCTGTTAATATAAATATAATTATCTGGAGATGGACTCTTGTGTAATTTTTAGATTATTTTAATATTGGAAACATGATTTCCCAAGCCTTACTAGAATGCTTTCTGTTTAAATACATGCAACTCTGAGTATGTTCACTAACTCCTGTGCAGCCATTTTGAGGGATAAGGAGCTTCTAAGCCTAGGGCTGCAAACCTCTGATTCAGGAGCAAAATGAGAGCATGGTTCAGTGGTAAAGGCAGATCTGAGCAGGGCCTGGAAAGTGCATGTGCTCCAACCATGGTATGAACTTGGTGATGGGGCAGCTGGAAGCAGTGTTACAGTGTCTGGGGTGTGCAGGGATTATCTCATTTCCCAAGTCCCTTACACTGCAATGCTCAAATAGCCAGGTCAGTGCCCTGGCTTATAGAGTAGGCAACATCTTTGTTCCTCCCAAAGTCCAACTGCTGACACTGGCAAGGCAGCTTTTATTTCCAGTAAGTAGAAACCCTATTTGTAGTATTCAGTAGAAAAGAATGTACACATATGCAAGCTTTTATTTTCTGTTAGCTTTGGAGTGATGTAACATCTTCTCACACTAGAAGCCTTTATGGGTTTCAGAGATTTCTGTAGAAGTGATGTAGCTGTTGCTTATCTTCTCGTGGCTTGCTTCTGTCTCTTCTAGACCCCCTTGCACCTGGCAGTAATCACAAAGCAGGCAGAGGTGGTAGAAGACTTGCTGAGGGCTGGAGCAGATGTCAGCCTCCTGGATCGCCATGGTAATTCTGTCTTACATTTAGCTGCTGCTGAAGGAGACGACAAGATCTTGAGTCTGCTCCTCAAGCATGAGAAGATATCTCCGATGGTCAACCTTTCCAATGGTGAAGGTATGGAAAGATAAGGGCTCTATTTTACACTTAGCTACTAGACAAACACGACCCAATTCCTGCCCCTGCCAACACCATGACTCTACATAGGTAGATACAGACCTTGAAATTAGCATCTTTCCCCATTTTGCATATGCCTGCAGGCACAGATAAGAGAACACAGCTGTGTTGGTTTTCTGGTTATACAGAACAGAAAGATGCAATGGCCACATGACATAGTATGGATTTGAATTTTTGTTACTCTATATTCTCTTCAATCTCAAAAAACTTCAAGCACTGTGTTCCTTCTAAGATAGCTTATGCCACCACTGGTTTTTAAAAAAAAAACAAATCCCCCTAGAGGAAAATGTTTCCTCTTTTCTAGTGAATGAATCCCCTCAAAAATAGGTTCTAGACCAGTGTTGAGTTTTGTATTTGGTACTTTGTGACCATACAGAATTAGAGCCTACAAATTAACCACGAAGAGACAATTCTCCCATTTTTCATTGGCATGGGGGATTTGAATTTAGTACTACTCCTCTAGTAGATTGTAAAATGTCTGACCTAAAAATGTCATTATGGGATTCAAGAAATGGTGTTAAGTTCCTCAGAGAGAAAGAATTTTTTATTTGGTTGGATATTGTTTGGTTGGTTGATTTTTAAATACAAGGCTTTATGATCTAGTGCAGGTAATCCTGAGATGGTAAGGCAGTGTGACCTTACAGGAGGATGATACTAAAATATACCAGTTATGCCCCAGACTGTTTCTAGAAGAGATGTTCAGTAGCAGATGGGGTCAGTGTGGGGTACGTACTTGTTTAGCACCAAGATGCAGGTTTTATTTTTAAGGCTACTCTCTTTTGAGTCAAAGAGATGCTCTAGGTGAGCTCTGTAGTTCCTGCCTTCTGTTCCACCTTGTAGTCTGCTGGGGTTCTTTTTCTTGCATGGTTTTGACTCACCACCACACAACTAATTCCAATTTATGCACAAAGAACATTTTTATCAACATCATTAACATGATCCTGAGCCTCCGCCTAGAGTGCTACTTTAGGCTCTGGGACACCCAGCATACAAAGGACACAGGCTTGTTAAAGCGGGTCCAGGAGAGGCCATGAAGATGCTCAGGGGACTGGAGCACCTCTCCACTGCAGACAGGCTGAGAGAGCTGGGGCTGTTCAGCTTGGAGAGAAGCAGGCTCCAGGGAGGCCTCATTGCAGCCTTCCAGTGCCTTTTAAAGGGAACCTATAGGAAAGCTGGAGAGGGACTTTTTACAAGGGCGTGTAGTGACAGGACAAGGGGGAATGGTCTCAAACTGATGGAGGGTAGGTTTAGATTAGATATGAGGAAGAAATTCTTTACTGTAAGGGTGGTGAGGCACTGGAATAGGTTGCCCAGAGAAGCTGTGGATGCCTCATCCCTGGCCCAGATGGCCAGGTTGGAAGCAGCTTTGGGCAACTTTGTCTAGGGGAGGTGTCCCTGCCCATGGCAGGAGGCGGGTGGAACTAGATGATCTCTGAAGTCCTTTCCAACCCAAACAATTCTATGATTCTATCATCTTTTAGTGTATAAGCAGGCAAAATATGTTACTTCTGCTCAGATAACTACAGAAACTCTAACTTATTTTACAATTCTCATAGATGTGGACATTTCAAAACTCATTATTCTGACATTTCTGAATTTTTCAAATATTAATGCACATGGACACATGCACAGTATTAATGGTTGGGATTTATTTTTTGTAGGTCTCAGTGCAATTCACATGGTAGTGATGGCAAACAGTATGTCCTGCCTCAAACAGCTGATTGCTGCTGGAGTTAATGTCAATTCTCAGGAACAAAAATCTGGACGAACTGCATTACATTTGGCTGTTGAACAAGAGAACATCCCTTTGGCAGGCTGCCTTTTGCTTGAGGTAAGGGCAGAATTTCTTTCTTCTAGGTCTTTCCAACTATATATTTAAATACTCTGGACACTCCTTCAGTGCTTCAGAGGAACAGAAAGGGGGATTCCTGTTTATTGACTAGATTACTTAAATTAGCATAATGGCAAAATTATTGGTAATGTTATTCATGGTTTTGTTCAGCACTGCTGGTGAATCTTTTGGCCAAGATGAGGAATTTACAGTGACCCTGACCTGACTGCATATGCCGTGTTTAATTTGCACTGAGTAATCCTGGCTGCCAATGAACTTATTCATGAACAAGTTCATCACTACTTCTGTGTGTAGTTGAATGTGTATAGAGAGATGTGCATAGAGATAGAGTTGTGCATATCCATAAGTATTTGTCTCATCTCTTTAACACCTTGAT